GCTTGAGGCTCGTCCACGAAGAGAGAGAGAGAGAGAGAGAAGGGGGGGCGTAGAAAAAGCGAGAAGCGCGTCCTGCTGGCTCTCTCTCTCTCTCTCTCTCTCTCTCCGTGCCGCGAAACACCCACCGCGGCCTTGAAAAGGAGGCCCGGGAGGGAGGCGAGCGGAGCCTTTGCCCGAAAGGAGGCTGCGAGGCTCCCCTGGGCGCCGGGCGAAGGGCCGCCCGTCCTGGGTGGTCCCTCGACTTTGGTGAGCTGTTGCTAAGCAGCTAATAATAGTCATGTTTGCTGAGTAATTTCGGCCGGGGCCGAGCCAATGGCGGCGCAGGGAGCGGAGCCATCTGACAGCCCCGGGGGCGGGGCTTGGCCTGGCCTCCCTCCCCTCCTCCCTCTCCCTCCTCCTCCTCCTCCTCCTTTATCCCAATGGAGAGAGAGTGCCTTCTTTGCTCCCTCCTCTCCCCCCGCTTCTTCCTCGCATCTATTGAAGCGAGGGAGCTGCTGCTGCTGCTGCTGTTGCTGGAAGGGCTGCAGAAGACGCGCCGAGGAAGGAAGAAAGAGCACAGGAAGGGGGAACTTTCCGAGAGAATGACTCCAAGGTCCTGAAGCGGACGGAGAAGCAGCAGCAGAGAAAGCGGAGAGAGAGAAAGAGAGAAAGAAAGAGAGCCGGAGGAGTCGCCAGGGACGCCTCGCGGCTGCCTTTCCGCTCCTTCGGACGCTGGATGCGGCGGCGGGGGAGGCGAAATGCGGCGATGGGAAGCCAGGGCTCGGACTCGCCCCCGGACCCAGCCCCGGCCCCCGGACACCCCGCAGACGCGCGATGAAGCCTCCCTCGCCCCCTGCAACAGACCCGACAGAGCCCGGCCCCGCCGGCGCCGACGCCACTGGCTCGCCGCAACAACAGCCGCAGCCGCCCCGGCGCAACATGGCTTCGGCCAAGGCCAGTAGCGCCTCCGAGGCGGAGAACAGCAGCGGCGGAGGCGGCGGTGGCGGCGGTGGAGGTGGCGGCGGCGGCGGGGCTGGCTCAGAGACCGAGCCCGGAGGGAGCAGCAGCAGCAGGAGGCGGCAGCGGTGGGCAAGGAGGGCCGGCGGGGAGAGAGCCGCAGCCGCTGTGCTGCCCGACCGGGACTATCTGCAGCGGCCGAGCTTCTGCGACGCGGGATTCGCCCTGGAACAGATCGCCAAGGTGCGCCCCGAGGAGGAGGAGGAGGAGGAGGAGGAGATGGAGCTCTCCCTTGGGCAAGCACCCGGGAGCCCTCAGGGCAGAGGGGCGCTCTCCCTCTCCACGTTCTCCTCCTTCTCTTCCTCTCTTCCTTCTCCTTCCCTCGCTCTTCCTCTCCTTTCTCTCTCTTTCTCCTCTCCCTCTCTCCTTCTCTTTCTCCTTTTCCTCTCCTTTTCCTTCCTTCTCTTCTCTCCTTCTCTCCTTTCTCCTTTTCTTTCTCCTTTCCCTTCTCCTCTTCTTTCTTCTCCTCTTCTTTCTCTTCCTTTCCCTTCCTTTCTCCTCCTCTCTCCTTCTTTCTTCCCTCCCTCTCCTCTCTTCCTCTTCTTTCTCTTTTTCCTTTCTCCTCTTTCTCCTCTCCCTCTCCTCTTCTTCACTTTCTCATCCTCTCTTCCTCTCCTTTCCCTCCTCTCTTTCCCTTCCTCTTCACTTTCCATTTCTCTTCCTCTCCTTTTTCTTTCCTTCATTTCCTCTCCTTCCCTTCCTCTCCTTTCTCTTCTTCTCCTTTCCCTCCTCCTCCTCCTCCTCCTCCTCTTCTCCTTCCCTTCTCCACTTTTTCTCCCTCTCCTTTTCCCACTCCTCCTATTTTTCTCTCCTCTCCTTCCTCTTCTCCTTCTTCGCCTTTGCCTCTTCTTTTTCCTTCTCTCCTCCCTTTCCTCACTCCTGATTTGGGTTCTCTTCGGGTTCAATCAGACCTGGGCCAACTTGGGCTCCCACCATTCCAAACAACCTCAAGCGACAGAGGGGAGAAAGTAAAGGTCCTGAGGCTGTTAGGAATGGTGGGAGTTGAAGTCCAAAACACCTGGAGGGGAGGGCCCAAGTTGGCCTAGACCTGGGTTATTGCACCCCACCCGCGAGAAATGCGCGAGACCGTGTGTGTTGTTCCTTCGCCCTCACGCGCGGGCTGCATCTCTTCTGCACTGTGGGATCCATGCTGGACCATGGTGGGAGGTTTGGAAGTTTCCCAGCCAAGGCGTGTGTATCTATCCCATCGCCTTGAGCCAGGGCAGCTCCAGTGTGTCAAACCGCCTTCACTTCACAGTGTGGATGCACCCTGTGGACCTCCCTCCCTCCCTTCTTTGGGGATGGATTTTCCTCTCCAGCAAAGGGAAAGGGAAAAAAAAAACCACGTCTGGAGAGCCTCCTCCTCCCTCCTCCTCGCGCCACCCACCCGCACAGCTCGGCTCCTCTCTTTCTTCTCCTCCCGGTTGCGATTGTAGAAGGCTTCCCCCAAAGAGGAGGAGAGGGAAAGCGGGAAGACAAATCGCTGCCGTAAATCTCTCCCCGGGACTTACTCCCCTTCCTTCCCAAGCCCTCCATCGCTTCTCTCTGCCCTCTTCTCTGTTTCGTCTCAATGCTCCAGGGAAGTCACCAAAGTTAGCTTTGGAGGAAAGAAGGCGCGGGGGGGGGGGGGGGGTGTCCGAAGGCCAAACAAGCATGGTCCCCCCCTTCCCTTCCAACGATCATATCATTTCACTCAGCAGCGGCGATTATGTATTTATTTCAAGTGGGTGGGTGGGTGGGGCGAAGGGGGGGGGAATAGAGAGGCAGAGCATTGCAATCTGGGTGGCTGCCCTCTTCCGTCCACAAATATTGTCGTGAGCTTACAGATGGCTGCTTTGCTTCCTAAGTCGGATCACAACAGTCTGTCTCCAAACAGTAAAGAGTTTTAAGGCTGGGGGTGAGAGCCACGTGGGTAGACAAGGCATCAAGCAGAGGTTTAGGATAGAGTAGCGGCCATTTGGGGTGGGGAGGGCATCCATACTGTAGAATGAATGCAGTTTGGCACCACCTCACTACCAGGCTTCAGTTGGAGCAGGGGGTTTACAAGCTTTTTGCTTTCAAAGTGTGCTGGTGCCTCACTAAAGTAGAACTCCACAGCATTGAGCCATGGCAGTCCAAGTGGCGCTAAACTGCATTCATTCTATAGCAGTGGTTCCCAACCTTTTTTTGACCAGGGACCACTCTCCAACATTAGTACCAAAAGGGTTACGAATCAGTTTTTGGTCAGCTTCCCATTCAGTTTGGTTATCTGGTGATTCAGAAAATTGCATTGGCTAGGACACATCAGCTCTATAGTTTCTGATACAGAACATATGCCACCCAGTAGTCGCCATCTGCTCGCCCACAGAAAACCATATTGAATAAGCCTCAGCACTATAAGAGGGCTTCACAAGACCAGTTGCTCTAGTTGCAATGGTGTACTAACCTGAGGCCGCAGACCAGAATTTAGTTCTTGGGGACCACTGGTTGGGAACCACTGTTCTATAGAATTGAATGAATCAGCTCTGGTCAGTGTACATCAGAGCTTTCCAAACTTTTCCATATTGGTGATGTGCTTTTTAGACATGCATCTTTTGTGACACCCAGAGGTTACACCAGGCATGGGCAAACTTTGTCTATTCCATGTGGTACATCACAAACCTCATTGTCAACAGATTTTCTTTTTGTAATAAGAAACATTTCAATTTTTGTGGTAATTACTACAACTCAATAAATTGTGCAGATTATGAAGGTTATAACAGTATTTACACCAGCCTTTGTTGTTTGGGGGGGGGGGGGTTTTTCACATGACACATCTAGTGACTATGGGCAACACACTACTGTGTGTCCTGACACATAGTTTGGAAAGCTCTGGTGTGGATTCACCCCAAATTGGCTCTTGCTTTCTGTCTCCTTTTCTTCCCTCCAGTAGCAAATGATAATATAAACTTTATTTATACCTCGCCACCATCTCCCGGAAGGGACTCGGGGCAGCTCACAGAAGCACTCCAAGTGCTGGACATAAAACAAACAATACATAAGCATATAAACAATAACAACATAAATTTACAACAGTAAACACACATAGATATATTGTGGCATAGCAGAAGTGGGGTGCAGATAGGACACTCCCTCCTCTCCCCTTGATGTTTGCAGGTCAAACACTATAGAATTACATACCCCAACAGAAGAATTAGATAGCCCACAAGTTTGGTCCCCCCCCCCCTTGGTGCTCTGGGATTATTTGGGACACTAATTTAGAAAATTGCACTGGATAGACCACAGCATCTGTATATTGTTAGATATGGTTATCATGGTTTTCCATGGATGAGCACATAGCAACTGGTAGATGGCTTATGTTCTATATCTCAAAAGCTAGAGCTGATAGGAGGAAACTGGTGCCATTTCTGGAATCAGCAGGTTAAATATACCCAGAACAGGACTAGTATTTGAGGCATCAACATGTATGTTGGCCAATGTTATCATGGCAAGTTGTATTTTATGAAGCACCAGCACTCTTCTGCACAGAAGGCTACAAAACTCTCTTCATCCCATGACATCAAGTGGTGACCAACTGCACTCATTCTACAGTGTAGACCACTGTGTGTGTCCACTTTTCCCAAATTGGCTTTGTCCCAGGAAGATGGATTAGGAGGAGCACTTGGTGAAGGAGAAAGATGGGTTTGCTTCAAATAAGGAAGTGCTCCTGTTCATTGAAGATAAGTTCAGCTCCAGCCGTGATGCAATCCAGCAGCCTGCCCTGATTTATGAATGGCAAAGGGATGGTGCAAAAACAAAACAAAACAAGGCTGTACCGTCTTTGCATGTGAGACAATATATGGGAATTGTCTAATGGGCAACCATGGCAGCTTGGTTTCCCCTGGCCTGTCATGTCACTGTCACTCATTTTTGAGTCTGCTTTTATGAGTCCTCCATCACACACACAAACACCCACAGCCCCAATGGCCCATTGATTCCTCCCCAGGTTCTCTTCCTTGACTGTTTTCTCCGCTTTTCCTTTCCAGGGAAAGGCGACAGGAAGAAAAGCCCCACTATGGCTCCGAGCAAAGTTCCAGAGACTGTTGTTTAAACTGGGCTGTTACATTCAGAAAAACTGCGGGAAATTTTTGGTGGTGGGCCTCCTGATCTTTGGGGCTTTTGCGGTGGGATTAAGAGCAGCCAACCTCGAAACCAATGTGGAGGAACTCTGGGTAGAAGGTAAGCTGGTTTTATAAAAAAATCTTTGTATTCATACACAGCCTCTCTTTCCCACTTCCTTTTTACTCTATTTTTTTATTCTAAGACGCATAGTTTGCCCATATAAACATCTTTCAAAAGGACGTGCATCTTAGAATTGTGGGTGCTCTCTCTATAAATAGTTTTTTTCTGTTGGCTGTACTGAAATTGGTGTGCGCCTTACAATTGATGGCATCTTGGAATCAGTGAAATTTGGTATCCCTACTCTTATTGCTTCTGCTTCAGGCGCAGCCCTTCTTTCCCGCTCTATCTTTCGCCATTTGAACGTTTTTGAAAATGTTTTGCATTCGGGGAGAAAACACACACACACACACAAAGGGGAAATTGGATGTTGGCAAAAGGCCAGAAGGAACCGTAATCCATTTGTGAGGTGACTTTGGAGTGTGAGGGAAAGAGAGAGGAAAAAGAAAGAAAGAAAGAAAGAAAGAAAGAACGGACACCCTGGCTGTATTCTTTCTTTCTTTCTTTCTTTCTACCCTATCTCTCCCTCTTTCTCTCTCTTTCTCTGTTTCTGCCTGTGTGTCCTTTTGAGAAGGAGATCACGGTGTCAGGGCAGGGGGCCGGTTGTGTGAGTTGACGATTTCTTCCCCCTCAAGTGCATGAAAGGAAAGCCTGTCTGGAAAGCGGCCCACCCCCTCCGCCATTTTGTGTGTGCGCACCCCTTTCTGTGTGTGTGTGTGTGTCCATTAGCAACCGCAGCTCCAGCCTCGGCAGCAGCAGGAACAGGCGGAACGTGATCGGCACAGCTCTCAGTAGGGCCCTGCTTGTGTGTGGTCCTGTTTTTTTGGACAGCATTCAGCTCTGAGGGGGGAAGAAAACATTTGTCTCAAGGTAGAAAAAAATAAGTGGAAAAGTGAAGCACGGACTGGAACACATGTGGGAAGGCTTGTAGAGCAGATTGGCGAGCTTCCCTTGCTGGGGGCTCAGAGAAATTTGAAGCAGGGGGTGATTTTAAGGCCAAAATACGAATTTTAAAACAAGGTAAACAAGTGCCTTTTTTAAACAATGAGAGTTCATTGATTGATTTCACTTTGTAAAGTTTGCAAAAGAGATTACTGGGCTTTCCTTTGGCTTGAGCTCAGTGGATTTGGGGGGGGGGTCATTTTAAGGCCAAAATATGATTTGATAACATCTTTTAAAATGATTTTAGTAAACAACATTTTTATTTAAAAACTCCCTTGATCAATTTCACTTTTAAAAGTTTGCAAAGCAGATTAGTGAGCTTCCCTTGAAGAGGGGCTCAGCACACTGAAGATGGGGGCTGATTTTAAGGTTAAATTACAGTGGTTCTCAACCTGTGGGCCCCAGGTGTTTTGGCCTACAACTCCCAGAAATCTCAGCCAGTTTACCAGCTGTTAGGATTTCTGGGAGTTGAAGGCCAAAATATCTGGGGACCCACAGGTTGAGAACCACTGGATTAAAAAGATAAAGGTTTTCCCTGACATTAAGTCCAATCGTGTCTGACTCTGGGGGTTGGTGCTCATCTCCATTTCTAAGCCGAAGAGCCAGCCTTGTCCATGGACACCTCCAAGGTCATCTGGCTGGCATGAATGCATAGTGCACCGTTACCTTCCCGCCACAGTGGTACCTATTGGTCTCCTCACATACACATGTTTTGGAACTGCTAGGTTGGCAGATGCTGGGGCCAAAATATTATTTTATTAATACTCTAAACAACTGCTTTTTATTGTTTTTTTAAACATTTGTTGATTATGTCCAGTTGTTAAATATTACTGGGCTAGGTGAGCTGAAGAACATTTTACATTTTTTGTTTTTCCTAGGTGGCATTGGAAATAATTGGCAGCCTCCATTGGCACTATTTTTAATACAGTTTTTACAGGATGCATCTACACTGCAGAATGTGCAGTTTCACCACTATAATAATAATAATAATAATAATAATAATAATAATAATAAGGATTGAAGAAAAATAACTGGAAAAGTGACATGAGAATTTAAAGCTAGAACTGCAAAGACTCTGGCACAAACCAGTAAAGGTGGTCCCATTGGTGATCAACACACTGGGTGCAGTGCCTAAAGACCTTGGCCTGCACTTAAACACAATCGGCGCTGACAAAATTACCATCTGTCAGCTGCAAAAGGTCACTCTACTTAGATCTGCACACATTATTCGCCGATACACCACACAGTCTTAGTAACTTGGGAAGTACCTGACTTGTGATCCAATACAACAGCCAGCATTGTGATCTTGTTTGCTGTGTACTATTTATTTATTTATTTAAAACTTTTATATCCCGATCTTCTCAACCTCCGTAGAGGGACTCAGACCGGCTGAAACACAACTAACCTTGTTGTGTTTCAAATAGTAATAATAATCATCATCATCTTTATTTATACCCTGCCCTCTCTCCCTGGAGGACTAAAGGCTGCCATGACTTAATGCTATGGGACCGTGGGAGTTGTAGTTTGCTAAGGCACCAGCATTATTTAGCACAGAAGATTAAAGGTCTTGCAAAACTATGACTCCCATAATTCCAAAGCACTGAACCATGGCTGTTGAAATAGTGTCAAATTTCATTAATTCTACAATGTAGATGCACCCTCAGTTAATAGAGCTTTAAACCAACATAAGTACAGGAGACTCTAAGTTAACCCATGTCTATGAGGATTAGTAGATAGTGGATAATGTAGTTTCTGGTGTTTGAAAATTACTATTAAAAATAGGCCTAATACTATACCCCATACTATAGCATGGCATAAACTCTATGACTTGATATTGATGTTTAAATACAGTAATTACAGGAGTTCCTGGTGGCGCAGCAGGTTAAAGTAGGCCCATTGAATTAATGGAGTTTACCTATGTGTTGGGGCCATGGTGGTGTAGCAGGTTAAACCACTGAGCAGCAAAACTTGCTGACCAAAAGGTCGGCAATTCGAATCCGTGGTGCCGGGTGAACTCCCACTGTTAGTCCCAGCTTCTGCCAATCTAGCAGTTCGAAAACATGCAAAAGTGAGTAGATCAATGGGTACCGCTTTTGCAGGTTGGTAACAGTGGTCCATGCAGTCATGTTGGCCACATGACCTTGTCCATTGTCTATGGACAATGCTATCTCTATGGCTTAGAAATGGAGATGAGCACCACCCCCCAGAGTCGGACACAACTAGACTTAATGTCAAAGGGAAACTTTTACCTTTACCTTACAGTAATTACAAGCGAATAAGGACAAATTTAACTTACTGCACACAGTTTTACGGTATTATAAAAACAGCTTTTTTCATTTCACTATTATTTCATTAATTTTTTTTGTTGGTTTCTTGAGAGCTCTGGTTCCTTGAGTTCCAGTTAACTGAGAATACTGTATTTGGCACAAATGGTGTTTTGTGCAGGTTTGCATCATAGGTACAGACTTTTTTTTTGGTGCAATCTCAGAAAATGTATTCAAGGGTTTGTTGGAACTTATGTCAAAGTTTGTGCACAGTCCCATTTTCTCTTGGCTGGTTGAAATATTTCAAAGCAATTAGATATGTTGTGGCATGTAGTTGTTTATACTAATGTGATTGATCACCATAGTTAGTTTGGATTTATTGAAACAACAGATCAAAGAATATGGCTTCCAGGTGATAGCATGGTGGCCTTTGTAATGATTCTTGCAAATAATGAAATGATTATATGCATTATTTTGAAAGTTATGATAGACTAAAGGGCTCATAAACCAATTCTGTCCCCCCAAAAGGGGAAAGCTGTCCTTACTTGTTGAAAAGGAAGTATACTTGTGTGGGTACTGGTGGCAAAAGCTTTACTAATATTTAACAGGAATACATTGAATGGGTTTTCAGAAAGAAATGTCTTCATAATTGTACATTAAGACTCTTTGTGTGTACATTTCTGCAATATTAAATGCAACATAACTTAGTACTATGTCTGGTTGGAGTAGCATTCAAGAAATAATAATTACTGATGTAATTAAGTCATGCTTTTCCAAAATGTGAAAGTTGATACTTTTTTCTCACTTACTTCTGTACACAACATGAGAAATGAGAACAGTTTGGAGCAGTTTTTGGGTTTAAGTAGTTCCTCATGTAACCTATAGCAACCACAAGTTGTTTCTTTGACTGACAGGTAATGGATAAAGTCAAGGGGTCTTGAATATCTGAAGATTTTTCACACTTCTCCTGAACCTTAAAAGTGTAGGTGGAATTATGTATATAAACAACAGAAGAGGAAATAAATAATAGAGTCCTATGTGGGTCTTGTATTGGACCTTAACTCTGGATCGTGCTAATCAAGTTAAAATGAACAAGGTTGGTAGGTATGGAGAGATACGTAGGGGGATACGTTTGGCTAGAGAACCTGGATAGAGAGATTTTTCACCTATCGTGATCCTAGGACTCGGTTAAATTGTCTGGCAGGAGATCCAGGAGAGGTGAAAGGAAGTGCTTCTTCATAAATCCCATAATTAATGTAGTTTACTGTTAGAAGGTGTAATGAGGACTACTAGCTTAGATTGAAGGTTGGCATCAAAAGTAGGCCTATCAGATTCCTGCCAAGGGCCTACATCCCAGTGGAGCTCCCCCCCCCTCCCCCCAATTTTCCTCTTTTTATCATCATTGTAACTGGCTTGTTTGCCCATTTCTTCCTTTGAGATCAACAGTTGTGGTGATGAAAAGTAGTAGTATTATTGTCAAACATAGAAGAGGAAGCCATCAGGAGGAGGAGCAGTGGCTGGCGACAAGGACAGGGAGATGGTACCCTTCAGCCAGCAGTATTAGATGGATTTAAAAATGAAATAGACCAGTTTGTCAAAGTTAAGGCCAGTCATGATGGTGATAGCCAGTGTCCAAAATCAGAAGTGAATACTGGCTGCTTGGGAGCAATAACTGGAAAGAGCTGTTGTGTTTATATTTTTATTATGCCCAACAAGTTGACTACTTTAGAGAACTGGACGTGGATAAGAGGGGGCATTAGTTACTTTCTATCAAGACTCCTGTTATTTTTTACG